ATAGCCGTTATACCCCTTCACTTGGCAAAACGCGCTCGATCGACGCTTCGGTCATCTCGACCGACGACGCTGCCCTCGGCGTCCGCGTCGCTGATGGACGCCATACGCGTCACCGACTTCAAACGCTGTTCGTCGATTTCAACGGTCAAGAAGCTGACCGGACGCTTCAGATAAAACCGACCGGCGACCGAAGCCATCCGGTCGTTTCGATAAAGCTCCCCGAGGCATGTTTTTTTTCGACCGGACGTGTCCGGTCCACTTGGATCCGGACGCAGCGGTCCCGTGCTCAACTCCATCGAGTCTGGCCTCGATCGCTGAGCGACGCAGCTTTTCAGCGGCGTCCGGTCATTGAGTGACTCAAATATCCGGTCAAGAGACCGGCGCCAAATCATTTCGATCAACTCCATTTCAACTCTTACTTCTTCACCCTTGCTCAAGTGTGCCAACCACTAAGAATTTTGCATCCGATTTAATAGAAAATAGACATTTCATTTTCCCGAAAGCGCCCGATCCCGCCTCATAAGCTTCTAAGCGGGAGGGAGAGGGGACCCAAACCCATCTCAACCCTACAAACACCTTGTGCACATGTGGTAGCATATTTACACAAATATTATCAAGGGTGTTAGCACTCCACTAGATCCTAAATGCATATGCAATGAGTTAGAGCATCTAGTGGCACTTTGATAACCGCATTCCGATACGAGTTTCACCCCTCTTAATAGTACGGCTATCAAACCTAAATGTGATCACACTCTCTAAGTGTCTTGATCACCAAAATAAAATGGCTCCTACAAGTTATACCTTTGCCTTGAGCTTTTTGTTTTTCTCTTTCTTCTCTTCAAGTTTAAGTCCTTGATCATCTCCATGCTATCACCATTGTCATGTTATGATCTTCATTTGCTTCTCTACTTGAAGTGTGCTACCTATCTCATGATCACTTGATGAACTAGGTTAGCACTTAGGGTTTCATCAATTTACCAAAACCAAACTAGAGCTTTCACCCGCCCGGAAGAGGTGGAGCCACAATTCCCAGTGGGGGGCAATGTCCAGGTATCCCTCGCAGACGACGACGAAGATGGCCGCCTGCGCAATGGAGTTGGGGTTGAAGTTGTGAAGCTCCACGCCGTAGTAATGCGGGAGCGCCCGCATGAACTGGTCCGCCGGCACACCGAGGCCACGCTCGTGGAAAGACACGAAGCTTACGATGTAGCCATCGCGTGGCCTCGGCTCTGGCTCGTTCCCCAGAGCAATCCACTCCGGCCTGTTGGGGTCGGTGACCGGGCAGAGGAGACCATCGTCGACGAGCGACTGCAGCGTCTCCTCTGACATGTCAGACGGACCCCAAGGATCCACCGGGAGGACAACAGCACCAGCCATGAGTGCGGTGGAGAACGTGGCTACGGAGGTAAGGTGTGCTCTCACTGTCTCTCTCTATCTCTCTCTCGCCTTTCCTCCCCCTTCTCCCCGGCGCTCTCTTCCTCTGTTATTAGCAACCGCTCGAGGACAGAAAGGGTGAACGCATGCTGGCAAGGTAAGGAGGTATGGGACAAGGCTCGTCACATATTTATGAGGGAGGGAAGGGGGTGAAACGGTCGGGCGACAAAACCGGGTAAATTTCCCTCAGATATAGCGTAGTTAATCCAGATCCGACTAAACCGCCCACGCGTCCGCCCTTTCCTCATTAACCACGCGCGCACAGTAACATCCCATCCGCAGACATCGCGTCGCATCCAACCACAAGCAACAGTAGGCGCCATTCCCCGAGAAACCGCCTCAAAAGGCGCGTCCGCAGTTGTCAGCCGATGGGAGGGGAATATCCCCCAGCCGATTCCTTTCAGGCTAAGGAACCGGGCACCGAGCCCGTTATGGTCCAGGGGTTCAAAGGCTGGGCCCCTGAGGGTCTCGACAGCCACCCCAGGACAAACAGAGTCAGGGATGACTATGGGCGAGCTCGTACATGGCCGAGGCCCAAGCAAGCAATTGCTTGGGATGCCCTAAGTCGTGTCCGAGACCGACAGGGAGGTCTCTGAATGAGATCCCACCGAAGGGAGGCGACGAGCCCCTGGGGCCAATCGAACGGCCCTGGGACCCACTAGAGAAGCCCTCTGGTACTTTTGGAGTGCGTCTCTAGACCACAAGCCGACCCCTATCGAATGGGGCATGGGCCTCCACTTGGACTTACCCGATAACAGCTCACCGGAGATGCCACTGCTCGCACCCACCGAGGGTAGCCTGGCATCCTCCACCCCTCCTTCCAAACGAAAAGGATGCGCGAGGGACGCCCAAAAAAGACAGGAAAACTCCTGATCGCCCTCTTGCTTCGCGTAGAGGCTCGGGGGATCTTCCTACAACCAAGCCAAGACCCAGCGACCCGAACTCACACTCAGGGGCTCGGCAAACGTGATAAAACCCCTCAACACGGAAAAAACCCATGGAAGAGTAAATTCCACTCCTCCAGGGCCTCGGGGGTTACACCCGGTGGGTGCGCTCGCGCGCACCCACCGAGGCCTCAGACACAAAGCACAATCCCGACGAAAGCCACTGCGAGCCAAGTCTCATCAAAACCTCAGGGAGAGTGCCCGCACTCCCCTCCGAGGCTCGGGGGCTACTGTCGGGTACCATAGAAAGGGGTACCCTAAGCAAGAACTGAAAAAATTGCTTAGACCTTGTAAATACCAAAGCCAAGAGACAACCACGCGGGCCTCGGCCGATTCTCCGATTCGCCCGAGGCTCACGCCACAAGGCCTCGACAGATTCTCCGGTTCACCCGAGGCCCACGCCGCAAGGCCTCGGACGAGGTACCAACTCTCCGCCTCGCCCGAGACCCCTCGCCCGAGGCCCCACCCGAAAGGCCTCGGGCGAGGTACCGATTCTCCGTCTCGCTCGAGGCCGGCTCGACATCAGTCCCGCCGCAGCTTTGACCGACCACCCTAACAGAGCGTCACACTCAACCAATGCGTCCAACCACTCCCGCAACGTCAGCCACACTCCGGGCGCGGTACAACGGAGTGGCCGAGGGGATAGGAGTCACATCGGCGCCATGCAGTCCGGGACAGGACGGGGCAGGGGTTACCAGCCACTGTACCCGGCGCTGTGCCCACGACTGACACCCATGCGGCACTGTGCTACCTAACCCCACCTGCTCCGACGATAGTGTGGCGTGGAGAGTCATGTCCGGGCCCCTGTAGCCTCGGAATCAGCATAAAAAACCAGCTGCTCCCTCTGAGCCTCGGCAAATCGCTTCCTCGCTCCTGTAGTCTTGGGACTCGCGCCTGCCGAGCCTCCCATGATGGCCCGGCCTCTACATCAACTGGGCCTCGGCTCTCTACGTTGTCAACACTCTGGCAGCAGCACGTCGCCCGCGGAAGACGCCATACCCTACGTCAGGTTGCAGGAGCTCCCACGTCGCGTATAGGGCTGAGCTCTTGTATCCTCGGAGTCAGCACACTCGCGCCATCGCATCAACCCGGCCTCGGCACTCCGCGCCGGTCCAACGTACAGCAAACGGTACGCTTCCAACGCACCTGCCACCACAGGAGCTCCCACGTCGCACAGGGCCAGGCGTGACCGACGCGTTGCTCCAGAGTACCAAGGACAAGACCACTCCATCGACCATACCACCGCAGTAACGAGCTACAGGGCTTGGCACGCCGCCTCCGCTCACACCACGCACCACGTAGCAAACGCATGTACCACCCCTGTCCTCTCCTTCAACTATAAAAGGGGATGACCGGGGCCATTTCTAGAAAAAGGAGAGACACCCGACGAGCGCACACACACACACTCACGGAGACATCGCTCAGATAGACACACGCGCAAGCAACGAGTAACACTCTGTAATACACACGCTCCTCACTGCGAGAGATCAACATCTCAAGCAACCCACGCCGCTCCACGTAGAGACATGGGACTAACCCCCTCTCTCGCCCTGCTTGTAAACCCATACTACAAGCACTTCGGTGCAAGGAATACAAGATCGCTCTCTCAGACTGGACGTAGGGCACCTATTGCCTAAACCAGTATAAACCTTGTGTCTTTTTGCATCACCATCCAGGATAGGGACACGCAGTACGTTTTCACTCGTTGGTTGAGGACCCGCCGGTCCAAAACATCGACAAGAGTGTCATGTCATCTTTTTTCTCAGTTGGCACCACAATTAATGAAGATAGAAAACATCTAGTTTCATGGTTAGGAGTGCCCTTAGAAACCTACCCCGAGGGTGTATTTTCAAAATTGAACATGCTCCTTTCTTACAATCTCCATTAGCGTTTGTTTTTGCATGGAAGTGGCACTTTGATACAAAAGTCACTTAAGTTGGTGGTAAGAGAGTCGAGACAAAAAAAACTGCAATCTCAGTTTTGGACCGGCATTCTGTTCGTTTGGCTGTGGCTTGTCGTAAACGATCGTAAATTTTCAGCCAGAACAGTATTTTTCTCTCACACAAATCAGCCGGCAGTACTTCTTCACGAACCAGCAACGATATAAACCAGCCAACCGAACAGGCTGCGGATCTTGAGGAGGGACTATGAGATTTAGTTGGGCAATATGGGTTTGCATATTTGAGTTATATGAAGTTTTCTTAAAAAAACAACGAATTGAGACACATCAACACATGGATATATTGATTTTGATTTGGTGATAATCCCTGGACAATACCAAACATTTGGTGATAATCACCTAGTAATAAAACTTACAAAAGTCTGAAACCGAAGGCGTGTCTTTGTACCTTATATACGGTGGACGGCCCAAATACAGCCCAGATGAGGGGAAAGGGCCTATGTGCAATGGGTTATAATAGTTAACAACAAGCGGTTCTAATTTTTTTTAGATATAGAAACAACAACAACAAAAAACAACAACAAGCGGTTCTATGCTGCCCTTCGCCCCCCTGTTTCCTCTGCCGCCTAGTCTACCGCTCGTTCCCCTTCGTCGCCGTCACCCGCGCTACGAACCCTAGATCGGTGTAGTTGCTCTTGCGCGTCCCTATTCGATGCCCCCACATGGAGATCGGATCATCAGATCAGTCGCTCTCTTCGATTTTCCCTAGCTGGGTGGTCGTAGACCAGGATATCTGCCGCAAGGCGTTTGCCTCCTTCCGCCCCGGCGACCCTACCTCCGCGAAGACCTACGCCAGCAACGGTGAGGTCGTCCGCGTCTCTTTCACCCTGCGCCCACTGCCGGGTGCCTCCCGCCTCTGCGTCCACTTGCCGAAGGGTCGCAAGCTGTCCGGCTTCGACAGCGTCGTGGCGGCGCACGGCAACGCCGTACTTTTCCGTCTCGAGATCGACTTCAACGGACTCCCCTCATCGTGCTCCGCGATCGACCACTTCATCTACTGGGCCAGCCCTCGCGGTCCCAGGATCTCACTGCTCCCACGTTGGTACTCGACCGAGGATGAGATAGAGGCAGCTGAGGTGGGCTCCTGGAGGAGAAACCCGATTGCTTATTTGATATAGAGAAGATTTCGTGGTGGCGGAGCTCCATCTCGATGTGGACAGGCTTGAAGACGTGGATGCACCTCTAGAAGCACAGCTCTTCAGGCTCTGCTCGAGCAGTGAAAGAATTGCTGCAGGTGGTGGCGAGTGGGAGGTTAAGCACAAGAGTCCGTGGGGGTAAGGCTAAGTTTGGTGACTTAGAACCTGTTTGGTGCGGCTCCGCTCCGCGTGCTCCCGTGCCGGAGCCGGAGCCCTTTTGCCGAAGCCCGAAATCGTGTCTTCGCCTGCCGTACGAGAAAACGGCTCCTCCTCACTCATTCCATGCTGGAAGCGCTCCTACAACCTGCATCATTTGGTGCGGCTCCACTGCCGGAGCCGGAGCCAGAGCAGTGCAGGAGCCGCACCAAACAGGTCCTTACTCTGCTGGTGGGAAGCTAGCATGGTTATCCCTTACGGCAGTTACCTGTGTTGGGTTGATTACTCAAGGGGTGTCATTTTCTGTGACGTTAATCACCCTTCCCCTGACCTCCTGTACGTCTCCTTGCCGGTGGATCACATTCCTTTTGGCTATCCTGACCCATTCAGCAGAGGATGGCCGCAGGCCTCCCGGGCTGTGTGCGTTACCAAGAATGAAACATTGAAGTTTGTCAATATTGCCCGCAGCGATGGCTATCTGGCGAGAGTGAGCCTGGTTCCAGTTTCACAATCACCATCTCGATGCTGCACGGTGACTACGATGATATGCAGTGGGTGACAGATACCACAATTCAAGCTGCTAACCTCTGGGATATGGAGGGTTATGATGATCAGCTTCCACGCGTTGTGCTGCAATTCCCTCTGGTGAGCATGGATGATCCCAACATCATATATTTTGTATTGAAGGAGAGGCGCACAGTTTCTAGTGCAAAGGCATGGGTGGTTGCTCTTAACATAGATAGCAGCAAGGTTTTATGGTATAAGGATATCAAAGCCATCCCTTCTGATGAGGACACTGAAATGGCCCCTGGCAACATCTTCTGCAATTTGCCTTTCTTTCCTACTGAGTTCACCAAGCATCTGCAGAAGGCTGCCGTAAGGTAATTTGGTGATCACTGGTTACACATATAAAACAGTTATTTTGTTCTTCCTTCCTATTTAATAGAGAGAAGTAATTGGTCTTGTGCACCCTGCCCTGGTTGGTAAATTGTTTATCTACCTTTCTAGTTCTAATATTTCTAGATGTAATGAAACTAAGTATGATCATCCATACTTTAAGTGCTAATGAATAATAATGTCTTTCGCGGCCTGTCTAGATTGGAGTGTTTGTTATCCAAATCAATAGGATTTAATACAAACTTGAATGAAATCTCACATCTTGCCTAGCCACTTCAGTGTTTTTGTTTCTCTGGTCTGCTCATAACATGAAATTCCTGTGTTTCTCTGTTTTCTGTTTAGCATTGTCATGTTGAAAGGAAACACTAAATTCAATATACATGTATAAGCTCTTAGTACTATTCAAAGATGTGTGCAAACTTAATTTTATGATTACATTACATACTTATACTACTACAACAATAGCTGAACAAAGCCTTCGTTAGTCTTATCTATGGGATCCTGTCTCTTACAGTATGTTTGGATTAAGTGATAGGGGAGTGGGATATGGATTGGGATAGGTGACAGAGTAATGTTAACACTTCATTTTTTTTTTTTTGATTTGACGGAGGAGCGGAGTTATCCCAAATTTTTTTAGACAAAGGGAGTTATCCCAATTTTACCTTTCCATCCCACACTGCACACTTATTGATTGATGAACCTCTTACATCTGTTTTGCAAATTAGTTGTGGAAAATGCAAAATGCATCTTCTGTCTCATTTTGCAAAAATGTTATTAATAATCATCTAGTTAGCTTTGTAATAAGCAATCAACATTGTAGGAATAACATTCTGCCCATATATTTTGTTTCTAAATTACTTTTAGATTGGCCAACAACTCATCAAACAAACTCTAGAAACCTGTACTTCCATGTTTATGTCCTTATCTAAGGAAAAATTTCTACTGCAGTAGATTATAGAAGCTTGCTGGTGGAGTCGGACACGAGCGCATGTGTTTAATATACTTATATTCTAAATTTGGTTGAATTTGTTTGTCCTAGTTAATGAACTCGTAAAGAGAAAAACACACGTAAATGAAGATTTAAGTTTTAAAATCTTTAACTAATAATCTAGCTAATGATTTCAACTACTATAATACAAATTTAGTACAATCAAATGTACTATCATAATATAAATAAATATAAAATAAATAAATAGTTTAAAGTATATTTTACGAGACTGTCATGTGAAGCTGTGCCTTATAAAAGAAAACAGAGATAGCAGGAGATAAAATTAATACTATTGAATCCAAACTAGCGTGGCTTGTTTGCAAATTATATATATCGCTAATAATAATATCTGGATGATACTAACACCCATTTCGATACGTATTTTGATGGCACACACGCAGATTGAGTTGACTCCAGATTCCTTCACGCCGACGTGGATGGCATCACGTCCCCGTGGGCCGCGGGTCGTGGCAGCATGTGCGCAATGATCTCACCTGGCCCTCGCGCTTCGCATGCAGCAGCGATAGAGATGGATCTGGACTATTGACGAGGAGTGCTAACTGATTAGATTATCCGTAGTGGCTAATCGAGTATTCATCGGCGGCGGCAGCACAAAAGCTGATTGCATTCCAATTTCCATCAAATCTCGCCACCCCGGGAGAGAGGATTAGCCGATTTTAGGAATTGGGACTCAAACAAAACAACAGCGCTCAATGGAACAAGGCAGAAGCAGCGGCAACGCAATCCAATGCGTCACAAGGTTCGGGCAGGACCATCACGTGTCGGTGGTCTCTAGTGGTCACACGGCACAAAACAACAGGTGCATGTGAAGTCACTAGCAGATCAGGCATCCGCACGGCACTGACTGCACCCAGGGCTGTTACCGCCGCGATATTCATTACTACGCGCCTGTTTTGCAGAGCTACGGCTCTACATAAAACAGTTTTAATTGTGGCCAATAGAGCTGATTCCCTTTAGGAGCTGAAACAGTTTTTTAAACCGTTTAGTAAAATAGCTTTTTCGTATTGTTGAAAAGTAGAAAATATCCTCGAGACCCTTTTTTTTTTTCCTTTTTCTCTTCTCTTTCTTTCTTTTTGTTTCCGTTCTCTCATCTTATCTGCTCACCACCGCAGGCACAAGCGCACAGCCGCACAAGACGTGACACGTCCTCTGCTTTTCCTTGCCTCATCCCACGCCGGACCTGCACAGTCGGCCTCCGCGGCTCCATCGCCGGCGACCAAGCACAGCAGCACGCCAAGGGCCACGCCAGGGGGCCCCGCCTTGCCCGGCCCCGCGCTGACTCCAAGGGGCTGCAGCACGCCGGTGGCCGCGCCAGGGGGCTCTGCCTCGCCCAGCCCCGCGCCGCCTCCAAGGGGCCGCCTCGCTGCTGGTGGCCGCGCCGCACACCGCCTGCTCCGCCCCGCCCACCACACCGGATCCAGCCGGTCCATGCCCACAGCGATGTCGCTCTGTGCCCACGCGAAGGAAGAAGGCAGGGGCATCTATGGCCAAATACGCCATGGTCCCACGCGCGCCTGACAAGGAGCCGGTGGAAGCTCGATTTTTTTTTGGCTCTCATCGACTGCAATCGCACAAGAGAGCGCATCGATCCGGGGCTCCTTCGTCGGAGCACCTCTCTCTCTACCCGTTTGGCAGTGGGAGCTAAAAAAACAGGTCCAGGAGCTGGTTCAGAATCCCTACAAAGGGCTCTACGAGTACTCCTGCCACTCCTTTACAGACCTTCCGCTCCAATGCAATGCAGTGGCTCCCATGCGTTGCTTTTATGTTTCCTTTCATACGAGTAGCATCAAACAAACAAAACACTTCATTTAGCATTCTCAAAAAAAAAACTTCATTTAGCGGTAGAAGTACATCTTTGAATTCTCACACTCTGTAACTAGTACTGTAACTGTAATAGTAGTAGTTTCCAATGAGCTACTCCACCTAACACTATCACTTTAGTGCATCATTACCGATCGTTTATATATAGACATGAGACATATAAATGAAATGCAGCTCCATTCCAAACCGGCGTTTGGATCCATCTTAATGCACTTAGAGCAACTCTAGCAGGATCACTACTTGAGCCCTCATAGTTAAATATAAAGGCTCAGGTCAAAAATCCAACTCAAACAGGACCTCTACTATGGACCCTGAATTTGTGGGGGCATCAAAATCCACCCTAGGGCCAACAAATCTGTTGGGTCAACTTCATGCCCCCATCCGGTAGTTGCTGCGGTTTCCTCCCCCGCGCTCGCATAGAAACTCCTCTGCACCGATGTCGGTGTTTTTGGACCACCGACGAGTAAATTTGTATTTGCGTGTCTGGCTCGGATGGTGTGCTCGGAGGACACAAGGGTTTATACTAGTTCGGACGGAACGTCCCTACGTCCAGTTCGCTGTTGCTCATGTTACCGACACTTGGTTTACAGTAGGGGTTACAAACAGGCGAGAGAGGGAGAGTTCGGGCGGAACGTCCCTACGTCCAGTTCGCTGTTGCTCGTGTTACCGACACTTGGTTTATAGTAGAGGTTACAAACAAGCGAGAGAAGGAGAGTTCGGGCGGAACGTCCTTACGTCCAGTTCGCTGTTGCTCGTGTTATCGACACTTGGTTTACAGTAGGGGTTACAAACAGGCCAGAGAGGAAGAGGATCCCATGTCTCTGGTGGAAGGAGTGAACGGGTGCTGAGAGCTCGCTTGCCGCTCACCGATGTGTGCTTGTGTCGTGCTCTTGTGTCCAGATCCCCTCTTTCATTGGGCGCTCTCCTTCCCCTTTTATAAGTGAAGGGAAAGCGCGGGTTACAGAGGAGGAAAAGGAGAAGAATGAGAGAGAGAAGAAGGCTTCCAGGGTTGTCGAGTCCTTCTTCTCCTTCATGCGGGTCCCGCCGATCTTGTAGATGTTAACAGGGACAGCTCCATGTCGCAGCCCTGTTCATCACTGGCGCCATGCGCAAGCGTCATCTGCTGGTCATTGCATTTCACTCTATCCTGGCGGACGTCGTGGTGAGCTGACGTGCCTGTCAGCGTTCGTACGAGGATTAGGCAGAACAGCACCGGTACGCCGACACTGTTCTTGATGTAAATCTCTGGGTATGACCCGTCGTGGCCACGGGTTACATCGAGGTGTGCCAGCCTCTTCCCTAGCGTCAGACCCAGGCCCATACGCATGGACCTGGAGTGGTTGGCGGCGGTATGGGTCCCCGTCGGTCGAGACGGAACCCGCGTCCTCGAGGTCGGGCGAGACGGAGCCCGCACCCAAGGGGTCGGCCGAAACGAAGCCCGCGACCTCAAGGTCAGGCAAGACGGAGCCCGTGGCCTTGAGGTCGGGCAAGACGGAGCCCACGGAGTTGGGTGAGACGGAACCCGCGTCCTTGGGTTCGGGTGAGATAGAGCCCGCACCCAAGGGGTTGGGCAAGACGGAGCCCGCGGGCTTGGGGTCGGGCGAGACCTTTTAATACGTCTCGGGCCATCCGGAGAAGTCAGCGTGGGCACTAACTTCCTTGCTTTGGGTATCCCTAATATCGATACCCGACAGTAGCCTCTGAGTCTGCGGAGGAGTAGAATACTCCTTTGGATGCGTCCGGTTGCTCTCTGCAATCCTGCTTCGGGTTATATCACTGACCTGACGCTGAACAAAAACTCATCAGCGTCCGGTCACTCCACTGAGCCAGAGTCCGATCACTTTCACTTAGTCGCTCACCTCGGGTCCAAATATCTGACGCATCTGGTTACTTCTGTCTGACTACCCCAAGACTGGATAAAATACCGAACGTGTCCGGTAACAATTTTGGACGTGTCCGGTCACTCTGTGACCAGCGCGACTAACTCCTTTTCAACTCTATCTTCTTTATCCTTGCTCAAATGTGTCAACCACCAAGTGTATCACCTTATGCACATGTGTTAGCATATTTTCATAAATGTTTTCAAGGGTGTTAGCACTCCACTAGATCCTAAATGCATATGCAATGAGTTAGAGCATCTAATGGCACTTTGATGACCGCATTTCGATATGAGTTTCACCACTCTTAATAGTACGGATATCGATCCTAAATGTGATCACACTCACTAAGTGTCTCGATCACCAAAACGAAAAAGCTCCTATCAAGTTTCACATTTGCCTTGAGCCTTTTGTTTTCTCTTTCTTCTTTTCCAAGTCCAAGCATTTGATCATCACCATGCCATCACCTTCATCATGATTTTCACCATTGCTTCGTCACTTGGAGTAGTGCTACCTATCTCATAATCACTTTGATAAACTAGGTTAGCACTTAGGGTTTCATCAATTCACCAAAACCAAACTAGAGCTTTCACCTGTGGGGACGATGATTCCCTTTTGTCGCGATCGGTCTTCTTGGGGGCATGTAACTGTAGGATTCGGGAGGTTGGAAAGATTTTTCTTGATTTCGGTCCCCTAGGATCCGATCGGTCCGCCGTCGTACTACGACCGCGTGTTCGGTCTCCTTGCGAGTCCAACTTCTCTTGAGCCCCCGCGCGTAGCAGGGGTCCGGTCTAGGGTCAACTCGTCTTTGTGATCGTCATCCCTCAAGCATTTTTTTGATAAAATGGAGGCGCTGAGCCGTGCCATGTTTTAACTCGATGGACAAAACATGGTGCTCGGTGAGCTGTTAACAGGCTAGTTCGAGTGGGGCCCTGGCTTCCCGTTCGCAGGGGTCCGGCATGGGTTAGTTGGTGATCGACTCTAGATTCTCAGTGGCCAATCCATATAGTTCTCGGGTCCGTTCGACCAATCCCAAGGGCTCGTTGCCTTTCTTCAAGGAAAAACCATGGACTGGGAACCGACCAAGACTCGAACGTGGGCCAGAATGCCCGTGGCGCTCGTGCACCCGGGTACTGGCCGCTAATGGGCCCATCCCTTTCCACCCTCACTCTAAGGGCACCCCGGAGCGGCTATGAACCCGTCGGAGGGCCAACCTTCAAACTCCTGGGCCTGAATGGGCCGTAGGAGCGTTTTTAGCTCTATATCCCTCCTTACCTGTGACGGTTCTCGCGCATATCTACACCAACACTGAGCTGGACGACATTGAGAAGGAGGTGGCCCCTCTGGCACTGGACTTACCTGCCGAGATATAGGATGAGATCATCCCTCAAGAAATTAGTTAGGTAGATAAGCTAGTCGGCGAACTTGTAATAAGTGGACAAGCTCTTAAATTTCGTTATGACCAAACAGATTTTTAGCTCTTCTCCCCCTTTTGTAGAAAAAGGTTAATGTGTTCCAACCCTTTCCGTCGTTAAGGCTGTAAAGCTCGGGGTGCGGGTGAAAAAACTCTGATCACGCTAGTGAACAAAAATACCGTAGCCGCTGGGGCGTAGGTTTCTTGCAGTCCGACCAGTTTTACTCAGCGTTCGTTTCTGCAACCCTTGCTTCTAGATCTTAACATGAGAAAGGGTCAGACATAGAGAATGTTTACCGGATAGATATACTCTTTAATGCGTTCTGACTCTTTCCGTAGTTAAGGCTAAAAAGCTCAGGGTGCGAGCAAAAAACTCTGATCACGCTGGTGAACAAAAACGCTGTAGCAGCTGTTGGGGCGTAGGTTTCTTGCAGTTCGACCAGTTTTACTTAGCGTTTGTTTCCACAACCCTTGCTTCTAGATCTTAATGTGAGAAAGGGTCGGGCATATAGAATGTCTACCAGATAGATATGCTCTTATCAGCCCCCAAGTGAGGCCCAACCCCTTGCCGTTGCTGGGGTCGGGTGTCACTAAAGATCGAGGAGTCGATAGCGAAACCAATAAGAGAAAGCATGCGTAGATTAAGGCCCGACCCCTTGCTGGTTCGATGTTCCAGGCATTGACGAAGACTTCGCCGTCGATGGTCTTGAGCTTATAGGTGTCTGGTCGGAGCACCTCCGCGACGATGTACGGTTCATCCCATGGCAGAGAGAGCTTGTGGCATTTCTTGTTGCTCTAGATGAGACAGAGCACCAGGTCCCCGACGTTGAAGGCCCAACCCCGTACTCGATGGCTGTGGTACCGGCGCAACTCTTGCTGGTACTTGGCTGAGCGAAGGAGGGCAACGTCATGCGCTTCATCTAGCTAGTCCATGGCATCCTCGAGGGACGCCTCGGCTCCTTGTTCGTCGTATGCCCTGACCCTCGGCGCTCCATAATCGAGGTAGGTCAGGAGGATAGCCACAGAACCGTAGACTATGAAGAATGGTGTGTAGCTGGTGGCCCGGCTAGGGGTCATCCTCAGGCTCTAGAGCACTACAGAAAGCTCCATGACCCATCGTCTGCTAAACTTGTTCAACCACATCCTAGGCATGAGGCCTTTTAGGACCATGCTGTTCGAGCACTCGACCTACCCGTTCATGTGGGGGTGCGCCACGGCGGCCCAATCAACATGGATGTGGTATTCATCACAGAATCGTTGGAACTTTGTCCCAGTGAATTGCGTGCCATTGTCTGTGATAATGGAGTTTGGGACTCCAAAGCAATGGATGATGTCAAGGAAGAACAGCATGGCTTGCTCGGGCTTGATC